TATTATCTTTCTTAAACATTAAAGATCACAAAAAATGATTTACTAAATAATGTTAAGACAGAACATATAAATTTTACATAATCAAATATCCCAAAACAAATTGAAAGATATTTCAGTTTGAAATTAATTTGATTTTTTTTCAACTGAATATATAAAAATATCTTTTAAAAAAACACTGTAAATCAATCAATTATATAGATTAGGAAAGAAATCAACAGTTGTCAGAATGTAATAAATGCAGCATAATGTGAATGACTATAAACGGGGTTGTTTGTCAAAATCAATTTTTTAATTTTTCAGTCTCTCCCCTTTCAAGTTTAAACCAGTATATCGAAAAAAAAAACCAGTATATCGACAAATAAAACAAAATCGAATAAGGTTCTGATTGATAAAATTAGTGGACACATTGTTACATTTTTGTAAACGTGGAGCACGAAACTTAAATTAAAAAGAAAAAAAAAACAAAACAAAACAAAATTCCGAAAATATCGAGAAACCCTAAAACCCTCACGTCTCTTCACTCTGCTGCAGTCTCTCCAGTGCAGAAGCCGACAGACAAAAAAAAAAGCAGAAGAGAGCAAAAATGAGCAACCATTGCTTAGACCTATCTGCTAATTGCTCTTCCATTTTCGCTTCTTCCAAATCCAATCCTCGTTTCTCCGCCACCAAACTCTCCAATCCCAGATTCTTCTTCCGCTCTGCCACCAATTACAGAGCAAAACCGAGGCTAGGCTCTGCCTCTTCTTCTTCTTCCACCTTTCTGCCATGCCTGAATCGAAAAGGGTCCGCCACACGGGTTCTCAACTCAGTCTCACCCGTCTCAGAGCTCGCCGACACTGCCAAAGCCTTTTCCCCGGAGACTGTGGGGAAGAGAACCGATCTGAAGAAGATTATGATTCTCGGCGCCGGTCCGATTGTGATCGGGCAAGCCTGCGAGTTTGATTACTCCGGGACTCAAGCTTGTAAAGCCCTAAGGGAAGAGGGCTACGAAGTTATTCTGATCAACTCGAACCCGGCCACTATCATGACCGACCCAGAAACAGCCAATCGGACTTATATTGCTCCGATGACTCCCGAGCTCGTCGAGCAGGTTATCGAGAAGGAGAGGCCCGACGCTCTGTTACCAACGATGGGTGGACAAACCGCATTAAACCTCGCGGTTGCTCTCGCCGAGAGCGGCGCTCTGGAGAAATACGGCGTTGAATTGATCGGGGCTAAGCTGGATGCGATCAAGAAGGCCGAGGATCGTGAGTTGTTCAAGGAGGCGATGAAGAACATAGGGCTCAAGACCCCACCTTCAGGGATAGGGAACACTCTCGACGAGTGTTTCGACATTGCGGAGAAAATCGGTGAGTTCCCTTTGATTATCCGTCCTGCGTTCACTCTAGGTGGTACCGGTGGTGGAATTGCGTATAACAAAGAGGAGTTTGAGTCGATATGTAAAGCGGGTTTGGCTGCGAGCGTGACAAGTCAGGTTCTTGTGGAGAAATCGTTGTTGGGTTGGAAAGAGTATGAGCTTGAGGTGATGAGAGACTTAGCTGACAATGTTGTCATCATCTGCTCCATCGAGAACATCGATCCTATGGGTGTGCACACTGGCGATTCCATCACCGTGGCACCGGCGCAGACTCTAACTGATAGAGAGTACCAGCGTCTAAGGGACTATTCCATTGCCATCATACGGGAGATTGGTGTTGAGTGTGGTGGATCGAATGTGCAGTTTGCAGTGAACCCAGCTGATGGTGAAGTTATGATCATAGAGATGAACCCTAGGGTCTCTAGATCTTCTGCTCTTGCTTCCAAGGCTACAGGGTTTCCCATTGCTAAAATGGCGGCCAAGTTGTCTGTTGGGTACACCTTGGATCAGATTCCTAATGATATCACGAGGAAAACGCCGGCTAGCTTCGAGCCCTCCATCGATTACGTTGTGACAAAGGTTTGCACTTCTTTCTTTGTGCATGCTTTTAGCTGTATTTGTGTTGCGGAATGAGATGCTCTTGACTTTGAAGATTGACACTGCTTAATTCTATCTACTTCTTTATAATGCAGATTCCTAGATTTGCATTTGAGAAGTTTCCAGGATCTCAGCCCTTGCTAACGACCCAGATGAAGTCTGTTGGGGAATCTATGGCTCTCGGCCGCACATTCCAAGAATCATTCCAGAAGGCTCTGAGGTCTCTTGAGTGCGGATTCTCGGGTTGGGGATGTGCAAAAATCAAAGAACTAAGTTGGGATTGGGATCAAATCAAGTACAGCCTTAGAGTCCCAAACCCTGACAGGATCCATGCTATATATGCTGCCATGAAAAAGGGTATGAAAGTTGATGAAATCCATGAGTTGAGCATGGTGGACAAGTGGTTCCTAACTCAGCTTAAGGAGCTCGTCGACGTGGAGCAGTATCTTATGTCCGGATCCTTGTCAGAAATCACAAAAGAAGACCTTTACGAAGTTAAAAAGCGCGGATTTAGTGACAAGCAAATCTCTTTTGCTACAAAGACAACCGAGGAAGAAGTCCGTACCAAGAGGATTTCTTTAGGAGTTGTTCCTTCTTACAAGAGAGTAGATACATGTGCAGCAGAGTTCGAAGCGCAAACACCGTACATGTACTCGTCATATGATTCTGAATGTGAATCTGCTCCAAACGGCAATAAGAAGGTTTTGATTTTGGGTGGAGGGCCAAACCGTATTGGTCAAGGGATTGAATTTGATTACTGTTGTTGTCACACATCTTTCGCCTTACAGGTTTGTCTTAGCGTCTTTCTCCAAAGCCAGTAAACATTGCTTTCAACTTTGTTTCGTTAAGTTTACTTATGTATTGTTTAAACTTTATTGCAGGATGCTGGATATGAGACCATTATGTTGAACTCAAATCCTGAGACAGTATCCACAGATTATGATACAAGCGATAGGCTCTACTTTGAGCCTCTCACAATCGAGGACGTTCTCAATGTTATCGACCTTGAGAAACCTGATGGCATCATCGTGCAATTTGGTGGTCAAACTCCTCTGAAACTTGCTCTTCCAATCAAACATTATTTAGATAAGCACAAGCCCATGAGCTTGAGTGGAGCGGGGCCTGTTCGCATCTGGGGTACCTCACCTGACTCTATTGATGCTGCTGAAGACAGAGAGAGGTTCAATGCAATTCTCAACGAGCTGAAAATAGAGCAGCCCAAGGGAGGCATTGCAAAGAGCGAAGCTGATGCATTAGCCATAGCAAAGGAGATAGGCTACCCGGTTGTGGTGAGACCTTCTTATGTTCTAGGTGGACGAGCAATGGAGATCGTTTATGATGACAGTAAACTTATAACTTATTTGGAGAATGCGGTTGAAGTTGACCCAGAGAGACCTGTTTTGGTAGATAGGTATCTCTCTGACGCCATCGAGATCGATGTTGACACCCTTACAGATTCCTATGGAAATGTGGTGATTGGCGGAATAATGGAGCATATCGAACAAGCTGGTGTGCATTCTGGTGACTCGGCTTGTATGCTTCCAACACAAACCATCCCATCCTCTTGTTTGCAGACGATCCGTTCATGGACCACCAAGTTGGCGAAGAAGCTAAATGTTTGTGGACTGATGAACTGTCAGTACGCAATCACATCATCTGGGGATGTTTTCTTGCTCGAAGCCAATCCCCGAGCTTCCCGGACTGTCCCTTTTGTCTCAAAGGCCATTGGACACCCTCTTGCGAAGTATGCAGCTCTGGTAATGTCGGGAAAATCTCTCAAAGATCTCAACTTTGAGGAAGAAGTCATCCCGAAACACGTCTCTGTGAAAGAAGCTGTTTTCCCATTTGAGAAGTTCCAAGGGTGCGACGTGATACTCGGGCCAGAGATGAGAAGCACAGGAGAAGTGATGAGCATCAGTACCGAGTTCCCAAGCGCGTTCGCTATGGCTCAGATCGCTGCAGGTCAAAAGCTGCCTTTAACCGGAACAGTCTTCCTCAGCTTAAACGATCTGACCAAACAGCACCTGGAGAAAATCGCGGTCTCCTTCCTTGACCTCGGGTTCAAGATCGTTGCCACCTCAGGAACAGCTCATTTCTTGGAACTGAAAGGCATCCCCGTGGAGAGAGTGTTGAAGTTGCATGAAGGAAGACCACATGCTGCTGATATGGTGGCTAATGGTCAGATTCATTTGATGTTGATCACGAGCTCGGGCGATGCTCTTGATCAGAAAGATGGGAGACAGCTCAGACAAATGGCTCTGGCCTACAAGGTCCCGGTTATAACCACAGTGGCTGGAGCGTTAGCCACGGCAGAGGGAATCAAGAGCTTGAAGTCAAGTGCCATTAAAATGACCGCTCTTCAGGACTTCTTTGAGGTGAAGGATGTATCTTCTTTGCTCGTCTGAGTTGAGTTTTTTTTATTTATATGTTTGTGTCGTTTGTGTGGAACTTTCACAATTCAACGGATTTGGATTTCTCATAAGCATTTTCTATGAATAATCTCTTCAAGGATCGATTTTCCGAAATGCAGCGTAGGTCTTTGTTTGTATCAGATTCATCTCAAATTCAATAATGATGCACGAAATAATAAGCTTTTTTTTTTTGGTAGACAAATAATAAGCTTCTCTATAACAAAAGTGTTGAGATTTACTTCTCTTTGAGGATTTTATTATTTATTTGTCAGATTAGTTTCTCTATATAATAAGCTTCTCTATCTCATGAATGGCTACGGAGAGGAGGCAAGAATGTGGAAAAAACGTCACCACGTTACAATAATAATAATTTTTTCATTGGCTTAAACTTGTGTCATCTTCAACAGCTCTAGGAATAGCATCTGCAGTTTAAGTGATTACGATAAAAGTTGAGAGAAAAAAGAGTTATTTGATTAATGATAAACCATACAAAGTCTTGCAAATTTTTTACATCTGAAAATCTGAACCATCCATCACTAACACAGACCTTATCTTCCTCCTCTTCCTTTACTCTCACTCGAATTCAAAAGACTGAAGCGAAAAAAAAAGCAAATTACAAACTGATAAAACTTTGCTCACTTTCCGGGAACGAAGTTGGTGGCGAAGGCCCAAGCGTTGTTGTTGACTGGATCGGCCAAATGGTCGGCAAGATTCTCCAAAGGTCCCTTACCGGTGACGATGGCTTGAACGAAGAATCCAAACATAGAGAACATAGCCAATCTCCCGTTCTTGAGCTCCTTCACCTTCAACTCTGCGAAGGCCTCTGGGTCGGTAGCTAGGCCCAATGGGTCGAAGCTGCCACCTGGGTAGAGCAAGTCCTCGGCCTCTCCCAACGGCCCATCTCCGGCGACTCTGTAACCTTCAACGGCTCCCATCAAGATCACCTGAGTGGCCCAAATCGCCAGAATGCTCTGAGCGTGAACCAAGCTTGGGTTCCCCAAGTAATCGAGCCCTCCTTCGCTGAAGATCTGTGAACCGGCCTTGAACCAAACCGCCTCTCCGAACTTCACTCCGTTCCTCGCCAACAACTCCGGGAAGACGCAGCCTAGGGCTCCCAGCATGGCCCACCTGGAGTGGATAACTTCTAGCTCACGGTTCCTTGCGAATGTCTCGGGATCGGCTGAGAGACCGGCGGTGTCCCATCCGTAGTCACCGGGGAACTCTCCGGTTAGGTAGCTCGGTGGCTCGCCGGAGAATGGACCCAAGTACTTGACCCTCTCGGATCCGTACCATGGGCTGCCTGATGGGCCCTTGGGCTTGGCTACGGTCTTCCTCATTGTCACACGGCCGCTTCCGAGGACTTCTGATGCCGCCGGGGAAAGCTTGACGGCCTTTCCGGCGAAGGCAGGGGAGGAGAGAGCCATTGTTGAGGCGGCCATTGAGATTTTTTTGGTTTTTTTTTGTTTTTTGGTTGGTGACTAACTTGTGAATGAGAGTGATTGAAAATGGTTAGGATATGTTTGGATTAAATAGGGATAGTGTGAGTAAGGTTTGTTATCTGTGAAGTAATCTTTAGCTCTCCACTCATTGGGTTTTTGAGATTTTGGTTCTATCGTTTAGCGTCTTACGTGGCGATGTCTCGACCACCAGCTTTTGCTTTGATTTCTTTCATTGCAGCCAAATCATTTTGAGACCACAAGTTGTGAATCGTCGTCGTATTCTTTAACGGTAACACTACTACACTTGAGAGTTGTGACACTGAGACACTGGTTTTCAAAAGAACTTTAAGTTTGTGTGAATTTTGCTCGTGGTAAGAGATTGACTTTTTGTCAAAATCTTGATATACATGATCGAAACATCATATACATGTGGATAAATGCTTCTTACAATGTTACATTGTACAACGTTTCGATCATAATATCATCAATCTTTTGAATATAAGTTCATCATCATTACAAATTTACAGTATAGAAAATTATATAGAAGCATAATTTCCAATTCCATCGTTACTTTATCCAATAACTTGAGAGATATCATGTCTAATGTAATCTCATCTCAGAAGAGTTTTTTTTTAATCGTTTTATCGAAACGCAGAGACTAAAGAAACACTAAGAACATCAGTAACAGAGGGATGGTGATAAAATGTTCTTAAAAAAAATATTATTAAAAAAATTTGATTTAAAAATAAAAAAAAAAAATATTTTGGCAAATCATGTTTCGCCACATATCGTAGAGACGCTTCTACCGCGTCTGGGCAGAGAATCGACTCTCTCCCTCCACCTCGCCATGTCATTATTTATTATTTTTTTCTTTTTTCTTTTCAGTTTAGAATCTTTTAAAATCTGACCATTACAGATGCTCTAATGCACTTTGTACTACCTACTTCTCCTCGACCACTTTTATAGAAAACGCCGTGAGCAATCATTACATGTTACATTTAACGGTTTTACTCAGCTCTAAAATAGTGTGTTCATATTCCGACACCAAATTTTCCTGTAGGAAACATAATTTCATTTTACAATATCACTCATCAATGACCTCACACATAAATTTACATAGTCCTCTTTAGAGTGCACTTCTATAAGCTTTAATGCTGAAAGCTACCAACACTATACAGTATGTATCTTTCTCTTATTCTATTCTCTCAATCTTTTGGTACCTGACACTTACAGACGTTTCTTCTAATCCTTTGATGCTTGCTTACTTTATACAAAGCTCCAATGGTGTTACAGCAAATGACATTGATCAGAGCTCAGGCCGGCGTGACGAACAACATAAGGAAAATGAACATAAGAGTATTACCCGTAGTGGCATGACAACCATAATTTATGTAATACACATGTAGACTAGAGTTATTTTGTAGTCATAAATATGACTAGGGAAAGGCTCGGGTCGGTCGCATAGTTTATGGTTATTAAGAATCATCAATGAGCCAAAAGGACATGCTTTAGTCCCTTGGTTGACAATTGGAGTACAGTCTATTAAAAAGCGGCCAAGTAATGGATATCAATGGAAGATGAGCAGTTTCAGTATTTGTCGATGATCATGTTGCATTCTGCAGAGACAGACTCTATGAAGGAGTCGCCGCTTCTTCTAACTGATGGTGGAAACACCAAGGAGCTTATGGATGAAAATGTAATCCAAGATCAGTTAAATAAAAGACATATTCTCTGAGTATGGGAATGTATTAGTAATAGGTCTAACTCACACTTAAAAGCTAGCTCAAGAGTAGAGGATTGCTTCACACTATATATATTATCCACAAATCTCCCAAACTGCCGATGTAGGACATTTCCAACACACCCTCTCATGCTCAGAATTCTAAGTCTGAAGCGTAGAGTATAATCACGAGTATATGCCACAATCAGAACAGTTAGGTATAACATGGACTCTGATACCATATTAGTAATGAGCCTAACTCACACCCAAAAGCTAGCTCAATAGTGGAGGATTGTCTTACACTATATATATTGTCCACAAATCTCCCAAATTTCCGATGTGAGATATTTCCAATAGAATGGTTTCTTAGTTGCGTGTCTTGAAGCCTATAACCAGAATCCATAAGAAGTCATACAGAGGATTCATAAAGGAACACTCCATGAGAATTTGCAGCGACTGGATACTTCACTAGAGACGATGCCACAACCTAAATCTGCTCTACCTCTTAGAAGCAAAGACAAAGGAAAAGAAAAAGCACAAGATTGTTTTTCTTAGTGTTTTTTATTTTTGAGATACGGAAAAAAAATTAATAGCTTCGAAATCAATACCTTCATTGTAATGCTTGTTTCTGGTAATTAACTATATTTCTTTTGTTATTAATAAAACAGTAAAACCATTATATTTTCTTTTTTTATTATTATTATTTTTTTTCAAATAAAAGAATAAAATTTCGTTTTTCTAGCCACAAATAAAAAAAGTTGGAAAATCAATTGTAATAGCGGTTAAATAGAAACATATAGTCTTCATATGATTAATCTTTGATTAATGAGAAAATTAGAACATGAACATATGTTCCAAATAACTAAACAGTACGAATAACTTACCCAAATATTCATATTTTTATTTTTATAAAAAGGGCTTTCATCTTACCCAATTATATTGGTCACTGATTGTTATAAAATCAATTATTTATAGTTGGTTCTTCTTGTCGAGATGTTAATGTATATAGAACTTTTGGCTACAGTATAGTTTTATTCATAAAGTTACGATTAAATCTAATGCTTTTGAGGAATTAATTTTACTTCGTGAAAAGTTTATTTTTAGAGAAAATAATAAAAAAACAAAATACACCGCCTTCGCCAGTTTGCCACCAAACATTCTCCCTAGAGAATGAGCCATACAAATAGGCCCATTAACAGCCAATAAACAAAGTTTCCGATAACCGCCGAATCATTTATCTGATTTTCCCCAAACGTAAGTCGGCAGAGATCTCAGGTGTCTGACTAGAAATAAACCATAGACCTCAGTCTCAGTCTCTCACCTTTATTTTCCCAATCGCAGTTCGTGAAATTTTCCGCGTTCTCTCTTAATTTGCGTGACTCGCTCGTCGTGATTTCTAGGGTTTTCTCACCGTCTCTTGCTTCGTTTTCTCACTGTCTCTTGCTTCGATTTCGATCTGACTAGTTTCGATTCGAATAGTGCACAAGCCAAAGATGGAAAGACAATTCGTAGACGTTTCTTCAAGAAAGGCGCAACGGGAAGAGATGAAGGAGGAGGAGGAGGAATCCGTTGATAAAGAGGAATACTTGGCAGGCAAGCAAGTCTCAGTCGAATCGGACGAACTTGAGAAGAGTTGTTTGACAGAAGAAGAAGAAGAAGATGAGTATTTGTCTGATCAGAACAGTCGGAAGAGGACAAGGGAAGCTGATACGACTTGTGAACCAAACAAGATACCTAAGCTTAATAATCCGCCAAGACAAGAATCTGATCCGTGCGATGCTTTGTTGCTTGATGACTGGCTTTTTGGTACCGTTAATCAGCAAAAGAAGCCTGCTGCTATCAAGAATGATGTTGAAGACATGAAATTGCAGATATCAGGATCGCCTTTTGTCTATTTTCCCAGGGCTCAGTTTTTGTCTCAAGTCGGAATTTTTGCATTACCATATACAGTCCTGTTTTAGGTCATGACCTCCATGAAGTTTGCATATTTGTTTTCTTTCTTTCGTTTAGCTTTGTACAACACTTGTGACATGATTGTAATGCAATCAGAGTCTTATTTTTTTTATGATATGATGGTCGATTATGAATGCTTTTTTTGATCGGCAAGAAAAACTGATAATTTCATCAATCTCGATCGTTGCTGTCTGATTAAAGTGATTGCAAAATTTCTAAAAACACTATTGAGGTAGTCATCAGCGGCTGTTTCGCCTTTAGTCTTGTAAATAAGCTCTACATAAAGTGCAAGCTGCTTGCCAGTAAATGACGACATTCTCTTTCTCTCCTCCATCCACTCAATGATCTACACGTACGTACCAAGAAACATTCACTCATTTCTCTTTTTTTTTTGAATAAGAACATTCACTCATTTCTTTAATCGGAAAAAACAAGATTCCTCTATAAAATCATTATGTTAGCTAAATCGAGGGCGTCTTGACGTTTGCAATCCTTGTAGAGATGCTTAGCACAGCGAAGGAGATTTGCTTTAGTGATGGAAACACGCATCATCTTGTCACGCTTCTTCTTCTCGTACTGATCTATTGTCTCTTTAGCAGTCAATCCAAAGTAACTAAGATTCCCAAGTTTCACGAACAACAACTTCGTCTTCTCCTTCTCCCTATAGCCATTCAAACCCCCATAAAGAAAGCATCTGACGCGGGTATAATTTCGGAGACAAGGCGGCGCGCGTCTCTTGTACAGACCCCCCGGCTCCTACAATGCCCGGAGCAACGGTCCTTGTACAGACCCTCCGGCTCCTTTCCAAGAAGTTGAGCACCAGAAGCCAACAGAATACGGCGCAAGTTCGGCATTCTCAAAACCCTAAATATTCATCAAATGGAGTTGACAAATAATGTTCCAACTGCATTCCATTTTTCACTCCAGAAATAATATATTGCCGGTATATTCTTTCTACTTATTATTTATACATCATTTGTAATTATGCTTCTACATAGACACTAGAATTTCGAATCAAATCTACTAATTTTTTGTTGTTGACTATATTCACAAACATTTAAATATTATTGTAATGAAAATAAAAAGTATAGTACATGTACATAAAAAAAACAAATAATGATTAAATTTATGCGTAAATGAATAACATTTTTTAAGTATATTAAACAAAATGAAATTTACTCCCAAATGTATAAGATAAACAATATCACGGCATATTTGTCGCACCACTGTTCATCCATACATTTTGGAATGAAAAATGCAGTGGGACTAGCTAGAGAAGTGTAATATGAAATAGTGTCAGAAAATGCAGTATACCACTAATCCAAAATAAAATGAAAAATGCTGTTGATGGTTGCATTGGAAACGATTCACAAAATTGTATTCAATACATTCTCCCATCTCTTCCAGATATGGTAACCACATTGTCACTTATGGCTTTATATCCGGCTGAGATAGGTTTTGGTTCAATATTCGGTTTAGATGGTTTTGTGTGTATTTACGGTTTAGATCGAATTGGAATTGGCTTATTGTAGTAGCCTTTGGAAGAGTGTGAGCTAGTGAGGAGACGATCTTGTTGTGGCTAGAGTCGGCTTTGACATTCTGAAGGCCGCAAGCCCAAATAAAAAAAAACTGGTTAAATTTTATTTTTCAAAATTATACATAAGTGGAATTCAAACCCCTGATTAATATGTTGAATAAAGATACAACTGCTACTAGACTAAAGAGACATTTTACAAATATGAAGATTAAAAATTTATATATAAAAATAGGACCGTAACCTAATGTTTGGCCTATTTGAGCTCAGGGCCGACACTAACTGTGGCTATGGACTATATGGCCATGACTCGTGGTTATGAATTTGTCTTATGACCATCGCAACCATAATAGGAGCTTTGACCATTGTATGGACTCCAATGTTATTCTCACTCTCAAACTGATACTGTGATACATGCATTCACATTGTAGAAAGCTGCTGATAAAAAAAATTCATTCATTGTTTTCGGCTTCTTTTTTTGATGAATATATACATTATGTTCAACATAGGTTTTGAGGATGTTATAATTTCTTGTCCGAGGATAATGTTTTTGAGGTTAAGATTGATTACATTTCTGCATCAGTTTAGATGATTATAGCTACAGTAAAACCTCTATAAATTAATAATGCTGGACTTCAAAAAATTATTAATTTATAAAGTTATCAATTAATCGATTAATTAATAATTATTAATTTATCGAGAAATTAATATTTTATTAATTTATAAAGAGATATTTCAGTTCAAATTCAAAATATTTGTAAAAAAAAAGTTTTCAACAATGTAAAATTTATTCAGAAAATATCATTTCAGTGAATATGAAAAATACGTCAAATAATTTTTATAAACTTAAAACAATAAGATAATTATATTTTACTTTATTATATTATTTATATATGCTTGAATGTATAATTATTAATTTATCTAATTATTGGGACTATATTTTTACATAGGAGTTTCAAAAAAATTATTATCTTATTATCTTATCAAAATTTGTTAATTTTTATATTAGCCCGATTTGGAACCGACAAAAATTATTAATTTATAATAATTATTAATTTAACGATTATTAATTTATAGAAGTTCTACTGTAGCTAGCCATTAATATTTTTATTTTATAAATCTGTTAAAAAATAATAATTCCCATACTTGTTTTAACTTTTAGTCGTATCTACTTTGTTTTCATTGTCTATCTCTAGCCAAGTGTCAATGTGTCAATATCAATTTTTAAAACATAATAAGAAAAGAGTCAGAAAAGATCATTTGTAAAAGTAACGTACAATAACCCTTAGATGTATTGTATACATTTAATCCTAATTTTTTTGATTGCTGCTCTTGGGATTTCAAAAGGATAGAGAGATTGACTCTTATACGTGGCACTGCATGAGTGGACGCTTCACCATTTCCTGAAACGCTACAAGATAACCGCAAATCAACTGCGAGCTATAAAGTAGGACCCACAACTACCACGTAAGCAAACAAAAAATCTAAGGCTAACAAAAAAAAATGTCAATAGCCAATAGAAACTCCAGAGATTGATATTCTAAGATAAGATATTATTTCGTCTTTATATTATAAATACATAAAATCTCATCAAAGCCAAACCACCCATTTCTTGGCTCACAACAACAACTCATAAACGTTTTACTTTTACGCCGCACTCAACCGCAATGGCTGCCTCAACAATGGCTCTCTCCTCCCCTGCCTTCGCCGGAAAGGCCGTCAAGATTTCTCCGGCGGCATCAGAAGTCCTCGGAAGCGGCCGTGTGACAATGAGGAAGACCGTAGCCAAGCCCAAGGGCCCATCAGGCAGCCCATGGTACGGATCCGAGAGGGTCAAGTACTTGGGTCCATTCTCCGGCGAGCCACCGAGCTACCTAACCGGAGAGTTCCCCGGTGACTACGGATGGGACACCGCCGGTCTCTCAGCCGATCCCGAGACATTCGCAAGGAACCGTGAGCTAGAAGTTATCCACTCCAGGTGGGCCATGCTGGGAGCCCTAGGCTGCGTCTTCCCGGAGTTGTTGGCGAGGAACGGAGTGAAGTTCGGAGAGGCGGTTTGGTTCAAGGCCGGTTCACAGATCTTCAGCGAAGGAGGGCTCGATTACTTGGGGAACCCAAGCTTGGTTCACGCTCAGAGCATTCTGGCGATTTGGGCCACTCAGGTGATCTTGATGGGAGCCGTTGAAGGTTACAGAGTCGCCGGAGATGGGCCGTTGGGAGAGGCCGAGGACTTGCTCTACCCAGGTGGCAGCTTCGACCCATTGGGCCTAGCTACCGACCCAGAGGCCTTCGCAGAGTTGAAGGTGAAGGAGCTCAAGAACGGGAGATTGGCTATGTTCTCTATGTTTGGATTCTTCGTTCAAGCCATCGTCACCGGTAAGGGACCTTTGGAGAATCTTGCCGACCATTTGGCCGATCCAGTCAACAACAACGCTTGGGCCTTCGCCACCAACTTCGTTCCCGGAAAGTGAGCGACTTTTATCTGTATTTTGTTGCTTCAGTCTTTGTTTCGTGTGATTGCAAGAGGAGAAAGAGAGGTTGTTTCGATGTTAAAATTTGCAAGTCCTTGTATGATTTTATCATAATCAATAACTCTTTTTTCTCTCAACTCGTCTCTTTAAATTATGAACTGAAATTGGAATGTATGTTCTTGGGGTTCAATCGATTGCAGAGAATAATATTTCTACAAACTGGGAAATTTGAAAAATGTCACCAATAAAGTGGTTGGTTTTATCAAATACCAATCAGAGAAACAAAAAGCCATTGGTTTTATCAGTACCAATCAATCATACACCAATGTTTAGATAATCACTTCGACCAAAAACAGAGAACGTTTCTAACGAAGCAAAATTAGAACTAAAAAGTAAAAAAATAAATAACAATGTATTCATCTTCTACACAACTCTATTACATTGTGAGATCCGATTCTTGTTCTTGATCTGAGTCTTCATCCGTCAAAATTTTCAGAGATGTTTTTGTTAATTGGGGGTAAGTGGATTGACCCATGGTCCTTATATATTAGTTAAGATCCCTTCCAATTTCCGATGTGGGATATTATCCATAATACGCCCTCTCGAGATGATGGCTACTTTAGTCATTGATCTCGGTAATGTTTGGGTAAGAATCGACGGACCATATTTGGGTCATAAGAACTATACTGTAGCCAAAAGTTCTATGCATAGGATAAAACCTAATATTCAAACTTAAACCAACTTTTTATATACATTAACATCTTGACAATAAGAACCAATTATAAATAATTGATTTTATAACAATCTGTGACCAATATAATTGGGTAAGATGAAAGCCCTTTTTTTATAAAAACAAATCAATACAACAATAACATGCTTCTCCTGGAGATGACAGCTCAGTATTTTGAAGCTTTTTAAAACTGACATATCAGCAAAATTAAAAACCAATTAGAACAAAACAATAATACACATAGATTTAAAAAGAATTAGTGATTGGGCTTAA